ATGAATGCACTCGAAGGCCCTGCAACAACATGTCCGGGAGTGCACAAGGTACAGAGAGGGAGACAGCCCGTCTCTTCTGGACCAGATAATTACGACGATGGAGGGGGATTTGATTAGTATAACCCTCCTTCGACCATTTGGTAAAAGCGACCACGTAGTTATCACCATGGAACTCCGTCTAATGCACCGTAGAAGCATTATTAGGATGTCCAGGAGAAATTGATGCAACGAGGGGTAAAGCTCGAGCAGCGAAACTTCAGTGGTTCCCTAGCATGGATGTCAAAGTCGGTTCTTCAGGAAATGCTCTCGAGTTATTTTCCCTAGTCCATTGGACGCGAATCACATCTGGGAAGGCAAGCATGGGCGTTTATAAATAACCCTGAACTAATCAGATTGTTCAAAGGTAAAAATTCAAGTCTTACACGCACAAATCATAAAAACACATTTGATGTCGTAAAACAAATGCTCAATGCAAACAATACTTTCCAACACATCCTTCTTCTTTTGAAAGTTTTTCATTATGATCCTGATTGGTATATTCGTCCTTTTGTGTTCGGGATGGAGATTGTGCTGTCATTTCCGTCTTTGGTATTTCTTTTTGCGGTTCTTGTACACAGATTTTTACATCCTCCTGAACGGTATTCGGATCGTCTTTTTCTTCGTCTTTGTCACCATTCTCTTCCTCTTTCCTCAAAAGAACTCAATTTTTCCGTATTATCCGTTGACCACAGCCTACTAGGTTCGATTTTTTGTTGCTCGCGTTATCACTTCTCCCTTCGCCCACACCTTCTCCGTTGGCTCCAGTGGTTGTATCCAAACCGTGTCTCCTGATCTGAGTGAGCACAGAGGTTTAATGCCGCAGTCTTAATACCTCTTCTGTAGCGCCATGCGTTTCCTTAGACTTGACTGTGTGATTAGCTATGGAGTAATCTGGGACTGTAGTAACTGGTCGCCTGTTTGACTACGCTTTCTGCTTTGCCATTGGACTGACTATTATAGGGGTTAGTAATGTGGTGCTCAAAAGGCCATTGTTCTTTCAGTTTCAGGAATTTGCTACTACGAAATTAGGGGCCACCATCGGAAATCACTTGAAGTGGCATTCCGTGTCTTGCGAAATGAACGCGCAGTTTATCAATGATCTCCGCCAATGCGTTTACTTTGTTCGTAATGCAGTTTATAATTGTATTTCTGTAGAAGTATTAGCATCGATTGTAGCCTCCTTGGTGCTCTGTGGAGTGGCGTATCCACAATCATGATCAGTGGTTTGTAATCTGAGTACACATGCGTGACTTTACCAAATGTTTAATCATTAAACTTCTTCAGCGCATGCACTAGCATTTATTTTTCAATCTGGGTGTACTTTTGTTCAAAGGCCGTTAGTGTCTCACTCCGGTAATCTAATGAACAATAAGTTGCTTGACGCAATCAAAAGCCGTCTGCTGTTCTTGCGTCCAAAACCACGGTTCTCCTTTGGGCGTCAAACGTCGATTCGGCAGCATCAATTCCGCTTGTTCTGGGAGAAATCTACTGAGATAGTTTAAAATTCCATTGAATCGTGATACGCCTTTCGCATCGGTTGGAGGAGGCATTTATACAATCGCTTTTACCTTTTCCGGGTCCGGTTTGATCCCTTCATTTGTAAGTACGTGACCGTGAAAGCTGACTTCCGATTGACAAAAGATTAGCTTATCGTGTTTCAGCTTCATTCCGTCTCGTATACAACGCTGTAAAAAGCCTTCAAACCGTCAGTTATGTTCATCTACATTTTTACCGAAAACTAGAATGCCGTCCGCCACGCATAATATACCGGATAACTCATCTATCGCTTGGAGTATTCGTTTCTGAAAAATTTCACTTGATATTTTCAAACCGAACGGCAGTCTTTTGCAACGATATTGCCCGACTGACGTGCCAAAAGTGGTCAAGTAGCTTGATCTATCGTCCAGCTCTAAATGCCAAAACGCAGAGTCTAAATCCACCTTTGTTAAGTATCTGCATTAGCTAAATCCGGTAGTATATCGTGAAAATGAGTAAGGTTAAGTTCTCTCGTCTTAATGCCTTGTTTAATGGTTTTGGATCGATACATATTCTCAATTCTACAGACTTCTCCGTCACCACCACAACCTGACTCACCCAGTCCGTTGGTTCATCGACTTTCTCCAAAACGCCCTTTGTGATAAGTTAATTCAGTTCACGTGAAAGTTTCTCACTAACAGCAAGTGGGATCCACCGCGTCGGTAAAACAACGGGCTCGGCTGCGCCGTTTATGTGACGTGTCACATTTCCTGGCAACTTTCCCAGTTTTCCATTGAAAACAGAGGCATACTTTTTAAGTAGTATTCAATGTCTTTACAAACGTGATGAACAAATGAATCATAGTTAAACGATACCAAACCAAGTCGTTTGATGGACTCCTATCCAAGGATTGGAACATAACCCGGCTCCACGATGAAAAATCTCACGACAGAAGAGACTCCGTTTCTAGGATTCTTCAGTGTAATAGTGGTTTCTCCTTTTGGCTCCACGTTTGCACCGAGAAAAATATCTTGCTCCTGCAAGATGAATTCGCTCCGCTGAAACCCAGTGCAGCGAAGAACAAACCACCTTGGCGGAGCCCAGCAATGAGGAGAGCGAGACAGCGTGGAAATAAGAGCTCGCACTCGTATAGATCAACGGGAAGCCGCTGATCCTGGGCGCAGTACACAAGGGATAGAACTAAAGCAGTAGCAGATCAGCGGGAGCTCAAAAGACTATATGAGCTGCGCAATTGAGCCAAATACCAGCTAAAAACGTACTACCGCTATGTCCAATCTAAGGGAGGACTCAGTGAGAAGGTAGGACCTCGGATATTGAAGGATGGAGTAATAACCCATAAGTTGTGTATAGCAGTGCTATTTAAGGACTATTTCAAAAGCGTACATAAGATGAATTAACTCGTTACACACTCGTTCACAAACTGATTACACCGCTGCACCGGGTATCCCCGAAATACAGTTGGGGTTGGAGCAGGTGCGTAGGACTTTTGGTGAGCTTAGCACCACCAAATCCGCCGGACCAGATGGCATCCACTCAGCCCTAGTTAAACACAGCCGAGGTTCTAGATGGCTTACTCTGCCACCTGTACATCAAAACAATAAAGCAGGGCAGGATACCACAGGAGTGAAAACCTGCAACTGTGGTCACCAAACACAAGGGAGAACCGAACGAAGAAGTGGAAAAATATCGTCCAGTGCATCTCGCGAGCATTCTGTGCATAGTTCTAGAGAGAATGACCCTAATCTACCTAGGCAAATATCTCACTTAGTACCGCCTGCTGATTGCGGCATTGCACGGGTTACTAAAGGGAAGATCGTGTCTCACCACTCTGTTGCAGTTCTTAGATGAAGTCACAGCGAGACTATACGAGGGTAAGGAAATGGAAGTATGCTATCTGGACTTTAGCAAAGCATTTAACTCAGTGTGTCGTCGCTTACGTTTTCTCAAGATAGATGGTCCAGGAATAAGGGGTAATATCCACAAGTAGTTAGCAGCTCTTCTCCTCTACTAGCTTTCGGTATCGAGTCGGAAAAGTGAGCTCACCAGTGTAAACTATTGCTAGTGGGGTGCCACAAGGGATCAGTTCTAGGTCCACTTCTATTTTTGCACTACTTTAATGATCTTTCTGAACGTCTTGGCTCGCCTAGCTATATATTTGCGGACGACGTCAAGGGTTTTGGATCAGACGGGAGAGCAGAACTAGCAAGGGACATAAGTGAGGTGCTCAAGTGGTCAAGTACATGGAATTTGCCACTCAACATAGGAAAGAGACAGGTCTTGACCACTCTAGACGAGGGGTTGGAAGTCGGAAGTAGTCACGGCGGTCTTTCACTAGGAACGACGCAGAATGCTAGAGATTTAAGAATTATAGTGATAGCGGACTACGAATGGGGAGAAAAGTGTGCCACAGCAACGCACCGTGCCCGTAGAGAGCTTTTAAGACTGCGGTCGGCATTAACATGTAGGAAACCGGAGGTATTCATATCCCTACACAAGGCGGTTGTTCGACCGAATCTAGAATATTGTATATAATCTTGGGCTCCCTTCCTCAAAGAATGCCGATTTTCTCGGGGGGGGGGGTCCAAAGATCAGCCACAACGATGACAGAAGGGAAGTGAGGGAAGCCATATAGACAAAGACTGCTGGTACTCTGACTTATTTCCAAAGAAAGGAAAAGACTCCGAGTTGACCTGATATAGACATTCAAAATTATGAATGGCTTATCAGGGACTGATCAGGCAGTGTTATTCGAGAGGTTGCAAAGCAACACAAGAGGCACAAGTATAAACTGAAGGAATTGCGCACGAGATTAGCAGTGCGCTCAAACATTTTCAACAACAGGGTAGTCAACTCATGGACTCATTTCCCGAACAAGAGGCGTAGGATTAGGCCTCAAATCAATTTTCGTTTTTTTCTTTTACTATACCCCCACAAAGGACCGCTTCCAAATATGAAGTCTCTCACCTAAACAAGGGGAGAAGATATTTTTCTTTTCTTCCTCTCCCCTTGCAGAGGCGAAGACGACTGGAACCAACAAGAAACGTGAAGAACACTCACAGTGTTAGGGGCCAGCACGTGGTATGCAACTGAAGAAGCTCTGAACGCTCGATTGGCCGTGGCCATCTCCTGTCCTGTGGAATTTGATCTGACCTGACTTGACCTGAACTTGCGGGACGCCATAGGCGCTTTGGTTCTGGATAACAACACGGTGACATTAAAAGACCATAGCAAGGCAAAAGCACTACGCAATTATTTCGCTCGTGTTCATAGGATAGACATTCGGACATTAGAATCTAGATCCCCGACCTCATTTTCAGGGAGCATAAGAGACATGCAGATAGCTGCAGTGGAGGTGCAAAAAGTGTTAGGAGAATTCCATTTCGCCTGTTCGCCGAGCTTGGCAATTTGTTTGCAAAGGTTTCATCACCAACCGAGATGACATCGTCAGTGCTTGTGAAGTGCGCATGATGATCTCGGACGCTCACAGACGTCTCACCAAGTACCAGGAGGTTATTCAAGAAGAACAGCAGAAATGGCGAACTATACTGAGCGAACGACAGATGGAACACCTGGAGGATGCAGTAAGTAGACGTGCCAAAAATGTCAAAAGAAAAAAGAAACTGGCACTCTCAAGAAAGCTCCAGAAGTTGGATGATCATGAGCTAATCGACGAAAATGAAAACTGGGTCCGAAATCTCTCCAATCGCGTGATCAAACAGGATGAAAAACGAATCCTCATTAAAAGACTTGAATCCAACGTCAGAAATGCAACGAACAAGAAATACTTGGCGGAACTGAAACAAACTCTCAAATCGTCCAAGATATCTGAAGATGCGAAACAAACCATTCGACAAACAATCTTCCCAGCTCAGCTGCGATAAGGAGGCTACTTCACAAGCACTTATGATGTCACCCCGGTTGGTGATGAAACGTTTGCAAACAAACTGCCAAGCTCGGAGAACAGGCGAAATAGAATTCAGTTCACCCGAGCTACGAGAACCAATTTTAATAATAATAATGTATATTTCACGAAGCCCGTGAAGCATGCACAAGGCATGATCATATGTTCAAAATAATCATATGTACAACGACAGTACAAGTATATAGATAGACTACTTGGAAGACGCACATACTGGATTTGGTAGGGGAACAGAACGAAAACGCTTTGTAAACGGAACATAAAGCGGACGAGGTCACAAAAGTCGGTGTGGAGGGTGGATGAATGTGTTGTATAAGTATATCAACCGGAATTGAAGTAACTGTGAACCCGTTATTGAGGGGATTCGGCGTGCGGCTCTAATGGGAGAAGATACGGAGAGACAGAATGTAGGATAATATACGCGGAAAATGAAGTCACAAGGATAAGGACAAATAAGCTTGAAAAACCGAGAGCACTAAGGAGCATCCGGGCAAATTTCTTCTCTCATAGGGTTATAAACCCTTGGAACAAGCTGTCAGCCTCG